AATGGCGCTGCAAGAGGCGAGTGAAGCTTATCTAGTGGGACTATTTGAAGATACCAATCTTTGCGCAATCCACGCTAAAAGGGTAACAATAATGCCGAAGGATATTCAACTTGCGAGAAGAGTTCGCGGCGAGCGCGCATAATTCCCATCTATGATAATAAAATATTAAAAAGATTAAAACGACAAAGCCCTTTTCAGGGCTGCATAAAATCTACGAGTATGTTTCAATGATCAAAAATAGATAAGCCGATAGTAAAGAAATAAAAGGCTTACTAAGAAAAAAATGACTGATATAGACATATTAAAAGCAACCAGTGGTCAAATACCCCACGACCATTTAGTTTTGTTTATTTACTAGCTTTCGCCCGCGACTCCGTCCGCGCGAAATTAAAAAACTAAAATAATAAATGAGTAGCCTAGTACCGTCGAGGTCCGTTTAGCCGTTTAGGCTACAAATTTTAACAAACATCCATCCATCCATCGAAACTTTCACATTTATATCAATAAGATGGTAATAAAAAAACATTGTTATTATTTAAATAATTTATTTATCAAATATTAAACATAATTCATAAATATTGCAACCCATCAAGGCGTTGTACACACGAGTCAAATAAATAATTTAAAACACAAACAAAGCAGTATTCATTTCTCTTGCGACATATTCTTCATGGTCTTCTTAGGCAGTAGATGTGGGTGGATAGCTGGTATCACGCCACCCTGTGACACTGTCACTCCGCTTAGCATCTGATTGAGTTCATCATCATTTCGTATCGCAAAGAGTATGTGCCGTGGAATGACTCTGGACTTCTTGTTCTGTTTAGCAGCTTCCGCGGCCAGTTCTAGTATTTCTGCAGCAAGGTATTCGACTGCAGCTGCAAGGTATATAGGAGCACCGCCGCCTATTCTTTGAGCGTAATTCCCAGATTTCAAAATCTTATGAACCCTGCCAACGGGGAATGTTATGTTGGCACGAGCGGAACGCGATTTGGCTTTGCTTTTGGGTTTCATTGTTTTCTTTTTTCGTCAGCGTTTTGTCACTTTATGTATGTAGTAAATATATCTTTTTCAAAGGGGGTTTAGTAACTAGGGGGTTTATACCGTTAATTATCAGATCTTACTCACAAATATTATGAATACGAAAGTTTAGATGGATGAATGGAAGTATGTTTGTTAGTGTTTTTAGCCTAAACAACTAAACTGATCACGATGAAATTTGGCATGGACGTAGAGGATAGTGTGGCAGAACACATAGGCTACTCGATTTTAGTACTTTTAGTTCCTAGCGTACGGAGTCGCGGGCGAAAGCTAGTTCGGTATAAAGATTCGGTTTCTGCGATGAAAATTGCAATAACCTTAAAAACTTTATAAAAACAATACGTCAAGGTCGTTATAATTTTTTTTTTAAACTTTTTTGTCAATGTTATATAATGCGGGTCTATAACGACCGGTGCGCGGTGAGATATCAAAAACATTTTTAGAATAATATTACTTTCATAATTTACCAAGTATACTAAATTACTACCGAAAACTACAATCTACACACATAACAGTAATTAGAATAGTTTAAAGGCTTTTGAGAAAAATACAGAAAACTCTTAATGTGTGGGACAAAAAATAATCTGACTTAAACTTATTCTTACTACCGAATACTGATATTGTATCCACAAAAGTTAACAATAAACGTAAATATGTGTTTAAAAATAAGTGATAAGTCCTGACACCTTCACTTCTGTACATATCTTTACGTTTATTAACTTCTGTAGATATGTATTTTCAATATTTTAAATTAGTTACTAACTATAAAACTCTGTCTATTCCCTAAATGTTTAGCGCGTTGTAAAATGTTACGTACCCCTGTCCGCAGCTGTACGCGCAGCTGCGAGAGACCGTTACGCGCGGTGGGCACGTGCCCTACGTCCCTCTAATATTATTATTACAAATTTTTCGAGTACATTTTTTTATATAACTAAGTAGATACATAAATACCTACACTATATTTACTTTATTGGTTTTCTCGATTATGAATCTGATTTAAACTGGTCTCCTATATTTTATTGATTGGAGAGTTATATGACAATCTTCGGTTTTAAAAATTAATTTTGATTTACGGCCAAAACATTTATCTTTGTCCGACTGTACATTATTTTATTTTATCAGAATGTAAAAAAAATGGTAACTAAAATATAAAACTTAACGTAAAACGTAAGAAAATCGTAATCCACTTTAATTCAAGTCAACTAACGTTTCGTATTGTTGAAACTCATTCAGTAATTGTGCAAACGTAAATTCACATCTGTATTAAAATGTGTTTTGTAATTTAAACCGTGTAACTTTTGTTTTAAGGCTTAAAATTCCTTGAAAGTATTCGGAAAATGGAATACGTAGGGCGCGTGCTCTGTTTACTAGGGGTTGCGTTTGCGCCGTTTCCGAAGCCAGTTTTTTAATCTTATCCCTTACGTCGGCTCAGTTGACGGTTGATCGTTGAACACATAAGACGAAGTGTGTCAAATCATATAAATAACACTGAATGCGAAATAAATTAAATACTTAGAAGATTTTACAAGTTTTGTGTGCTTAAGTGTGTGAG